CCCCAAAACCCCAAAACCCCAAAACCCCAAAACCCCAATCTTTGTCATATCAAATGAATTAACTTATTAATATAAATGTTCAGACATTATAAGGCTAGTTCCTTACTTAGACAAACTTTAGTTGGTAGAACTTCTGTCAGCTCCTCACTAAACTGCGCTAGTGCCCCACAAATTATTCTGGTCCATAGTCAGAATAGATCTTACTCAAAACTGAACCAGGACGACGTCAATCATTTTAAAGGAATCTGTAAGATATATGTTTAGAAATTTAGTGAACAAACCTGAAGTCGCCGTCATTGAAGACCTTGAGGGCACTGGCTCTTCTTCAGAGCTCTCTGGGTACAATACAGATTGGTTAAATAAGTTAAAAGGTAACTCCAAATTAGCCCTACGTCCTTCCTCAACTGAAGAGGTCAGCCAGATCCTGAAATATTGCAACTCGAGACAACTTGCTGTTGTCCCTCAAGGTGGAAATACAGGTAGTTTTTAAAGATTATGTGTAGGCCTTGTTGGTGGAAGTGTCCCTCTTGATGATGAAATTGTCCTGTCTCTTAATAGAATGAACAACATTATTGGATTTGATAAAAATTACAGTATTCTTAAGACCCAAGCAGGTGTTGTACTTGAAAAGTTGATAGAGTATTTGGAGCAATTTGGATACATGCCTCCAGTTGATTTAGGAGCTAGAGGTAGCTGTCATATTGGAGGAAATCTAGCTACAAATGCAGGAGGGATCAAGCTCTTGAAGTATAATTCCTTGCATGCCAACACAATCGGGCTTACTGCAGTTCTTCCAGATGGTACAATTCTTGACAATATGAGAGCTCTAAGAAAAGACAATACTGGATATCACCTCAAGCACTTATTTATTGGTAGTGAAGGAACTCTTGGAGTGATCACCGAAGCAGCAATTTTATGCCCAAAGATACCTGCTGCACACAATGTTGCTTTGTTTGCTCTCGACAATTTTGATAAAGTAGAAGAAGTTTTAAGAGCTTCTAAAGATTATTTATCTGAGAACTTGACAGCTATAGAATTCTTTGATAGTGAATCAAACAATATCCTAAAGGATCATACAAAACATAGAAACCCACTTGGATACTCCCACAACTATTACATGGTAGTTGAAGTGTCGAACTTTGACAACACCTCTACAGCAGAAGAGAACACCAAAATCATTGAAGACAAGTTCTTCGGCCTCTTTGAAAAGATTAGCACTGTCATTGAAGATGGCGTCATTGCCCAAGACTCTTCCCAACGAGAAGCCATCTGGAACTGTAGAGAGAGAATCGTTGAAGGCTTTTTCAAAGAAGGCATGACCTTTAAATATGACTTTTCACTGCCTATTGATAAGTTCCCAGTCTTCTTAGACAAGATTCGAGACAAACTTGGAGATCATGCTAGAACAGGAGGCTATGGACATATTGGAGATGGAAACATTCATGGTAAGCTCTTTGGTCTTAAGAAATAGTCAATGCTTCTATCAAAGGATATGATAATCTCAAGCTGTTCAAGGAGTTGCAGAAAGAACTTGAGCCATGGGTATGAGTCTTCTATTCAGAATTTCATTGAGATATTGTTTTGTGGATTTTTTATAGTAGATACTAGATCAGTGGTCAAGTTATAAATATATGTAAAATCTAATGAATTGTAGGTATTTAGTCTTGTTGAAGATTATGAAGGAAGTATTAGTGCTGAGCATGGAATCGGATCATTCAAAGCACCATATTTTGAGTTGAACAAAAGTAACAAAATGGTCTCTGTGATGAAGCAGATCAAAGGGGTGCTGGATCCTAATGGAATCATGAATCCTCATAAGCTGTTTGATTAAGATTCAGCCATCAAAATATTTTTAGGGGTTTTGGGGTTTTGGGGTTTTGGGGTTTTGGGG